TTTTTTTTTGTCTTGAACAATATTTCCAATTGTATTTTCAATATTGTATTTACAATATTGCCTATCACTAGTCTGTCAGCTTTGAACACGTATTTGTATTTTCAATAGCTGGAAATAATTAATAAAATAATTAATCGTTAAATTATTTTGTCTGATATCTCACGAGATACCCGAGTATCTCATGAGTACTAGCTCTAGTACGAATATTACTTTGTTACAAGAAGATATTTTGTTCCTTCCGAGTTAAATAATCCTATCATAGAACTACCCTCGTTCTTGATATTACTCGCTTGCCAGGCAATAAATTAAACCCCACGTTACGTGAAAATTTTTCATTCGAAATCCGAGACGATAAATTTCAACGTTTCAAGCTCGTGATATTACATTGCTGCCATTCGGCGAGGAACGAGGAATACCTGATAAAACATAAGATGGCAAATCGAAAATTCTTGCATTTGTGGGGAAAAAGGAAGAGAGATGGCGAAACTCGGATGGAGGAAGCAGGCGGAATGCGGGATTTTGATTCTAACAATCGGTTCGACTGAATCGCGGCCACGGCGATTCTGGAGCTGGCGATATTGAGAGATCGAAAAATGTATCTATTATATCCCGACGGGCTGGAGACACGCAGAAACTGGATACGACGTATGCTAGTTCGAGATCCCGGCAAACTCTCCCGAGGGGAAAGCCGAGGATATTGAATATCAGATCGCGTGTCCCCGGCGTGTTTATTCGCGCAGCGGTGAACCCGCGCGCGGCACAGGAAACAAAATCCTGTGCCCGAAGGGTGGTACACGATTGCGCGCGTCAAAGACTTTTTATCGTCGTCGAGCGTTTATTGGAAATAAGTGTGTAAAATGTCAACGCCCGTTTTCGGTACTCTCCCCCGATCCTCCACCCTGTTTTACCGACTGACTCGATACCGATAATTCCACTTTCCTTCGTAGCTTTACTTTTCAAAACACAAGACAAAAATTGTATGATGAAGTACTAGAACTTCGTAATTGAAAAAGTCGAGCGCGAATGCCCGTACGTACGAATAATTGAATATTGAAAATTCGGATTTCCAAAAGTTAAGCAGTATAAAAAGTTCTTCCTATAGAGTAACCTTTGCTATCGATATGATCACTCCTGTTATGACACAAATACCTTCAACTTAAACTTCAACTTATTTTTATCCGGGATGAAGTTACGGCTGCGATGGAAAATCTGCGACGGATCCGGGTCTCTGGTGTATGGTCAGGAGATCGTAGGTAGCTTTACATCGCCGCGTGTAGCTACGGTACCAAGCCGCCACTGAGAGACAAATGGCG